CCCGGCTCGAGCTGTCCGCTCGGGTAAGCCAGGTCTAGAACAATAAACCCAGGTATTAAACCTAGTATAACAAAACCTCATGTCGGATTATTAGTAGAAACATTTGTTTGCATCATGTGCATTTGACCTAGGAGAGTCAACACAGGGGTTGGGTCTGTCTAGGACAGGTGTACCTGAAATGAAAAGACCATCCTGATGCATCCTACTTGCTACTTGTGCATTTATTTGCTTCGGGTTTGCATGTTGACTGGCTTGTGAATAATAGAAGAAAATTGGGAAAAGAATATAGCAGTGTGAGGGTTAAGAGAGATAATTGCCCGTTTTCCAAGAAGTATTGAAACTCTGCCGAATTTTTGAAAAAAAAAATCTTATTTTCAAAAACAGTTGTTTTTGTTTAAATTTGCCCGAACTATGCCAGTTTGATTCTCACCAGATGTGGGATACGTAGGCAACCTCCATCAGGTCCAACTTCCCTTTTTGCAAAAATAGCCCAAAAAGACCAAAAATTTTATTGTTATCGCAAATAAGCAGGGTGATGCTATTCTTGTTTAAAACAAGCCGAATATCCCTAAAAGGGCGCCGGAAGGTCGTTTTGCAAGAACAACCATCTTTGGTAATTTTTTAAATTTTTAGCCAGTTAGCAGGCACAGCCTTAAAATATTCCCCCCCGAAGTGCAGAAAGGCCGTATTTGCAAAACTGAATTTTACTTTGAAATAATTTTCTTTTTAAAAAATAGTGTTTTGAGTCAAAATGAGTTATTAAATCACCTTAATAAATGTACAGGATGAGCACAAATGAAAATGAACCCTTCGCAGCTCATAAAGAGATCCCCTTACAGCTCCACATGTGGTGGAATGATCTAGGAAAAAGCAATAGAGAAACTGTGGTAAAGGTTCTGGGTGGTCTCATCGGACTTTTGAACATCAAGCCAAGGTTAGACGTGATTGAAGCTTTGATATCTTTTTCAGATCCAACTCGCAATGTGTTCCATTTTTCTGACTTTGAGCTCACACCCACATTAGAGGAAATTGTGGGTTATGATGGCCTTAACGGAAACCCTAGAAGTCGGTACCCAGTGTCGCCAAGACCAGTATCTCCTCGCAAATTTCTGGATATGCGAATTAGTCAAGATATTCAGGATGGAAATTTATCTGAAGTGTATTGCACTTTCTAGTTCTTGTATCAATGCTAGCTAATTTTGCATGGCCCTCGCAAAGTTAAAAACGCGTAGTTGCTTTAGGCGAGTTATTTTAATAATTTACCTTCATAAACTCGGGTGCGCATTTCATGTGACCCAAATCCAAATCTCACAGTGTTAAATAAAATGTATCATGAACCGCGGGTGCATTTCATGTGGCGTGGTTCAAAGACGCATTTTAGATGACGTTGAAATCTTTCTTAAAATAAATAAAAGCGGTTAATAATTTTAAATTATACCATAGGCTAAATCATGTATTAAAATTAGATAATAGGCCAATTGTAATAGTTTAAGCGACCGTGCTAGACCCACGGAATCCGGGAGTGCCTAACACATTCCCTCGGGTTAACAGAATTCCTTATTCAGAATTTCTGGTTCATAGACTTCAAAAGGAAAGTTGAAATCTTTCTCGATTTGGGATTTTAAAATAAACCGGTGACTTGGGAAACCAGAAAATAAACAATCCCAAGTGGCGACTCTGAATAAAACTGAACAAATAATCTCATTTTGAATAATGTCACTTAAATTGAAAAAAAACCCTTATATACTAGCCCTCTAGGTGGTTTGTAAAAAATGAGGTATGACGGTATCTATATGTGATAATGCAGAAACCTATAGGCAGGATATCTATATAAACGCAGAAGTGCAGAAAACTATAGGCCAGGATATCTATATAAATGCATAAGTGCAGAAGACTATAGTCTGGACATCTATATGAATGCAGCAGTGCAGAAACTACAGGCAGGATATATATATATGATACGCAGAAATCAGAAATTCCTTATGAACAGGATATCTACCATTTTTACATGCATGATTACCCTTCCCTTCTCACTAGCCATCCCCAAAGGATTTATTTCAAGTTATTACAGTCCAAAGAAAGGAAAATACATCAGAAATAAAAATTACAACCAAGGAGGGCTTGATTCAGACTTCCTGTCTGATTTATGAAGTAAACCAGCTCTAAAGATCATGTTTCAAAGCCTTTCTCTCATATGGATCTGTCAGAGTTTCCTAAGAGCCTCATATGGACTTCGGACAGTGCTCACACCCAAATGCATTACAAGGTTAAGACATAGTGCAGTGTGGAAGGGCCAGCCCTCAAGTGTCCAAGTTCATAGGAAACTCAAGGTCCCAAGGCAAGGCTCATATGAGGGGGCAGAACTTAGAGACTAGGAGCAAGTGTAAGTGCAGAGTTCTGAAAAGGGGAAAGGAGAAGGGAAATAGTACACATAGATACACATAGTGGTATAGGAAATGGGGAAGTAGTAGAGAGGCAAGGATAGGCTAGTGGG